TGGGACGAGTTTTTTTGTGGAATATGACACTTTGTGAACCATGAATCATAAGAATAGAGTCGTTATCCAAAACGAAAATCATCTCATCAAATTTGTTAAGAAATCAATTTAAATCTGCACCATTAATTAAAATATTACAATAAAAAATAATATAACTAAGTCATTTTGATAAAGATGGTTCCGAGATAAGTGTAGTTTTATATTATTTTCAACAGATAAAGAAACTGCTTTACCATAACCTCCAAAACCATAAACACCTTTGACAAGTCGATTTACCAAAGATACTACAAACATCAACCTTTGGTAATAGATTATCGTTCATGTTCACAGCTCTTTAAAATATAACGTCAACACTTCAACACAGTGATCAAGTAGGGGAGAGTTTACGTTCCCAGCCTCTCTGTATAAACATACACAGGTGTGTCCAGCCCGGCCACATCACGCTTAACAGGCTGGGTCATGTTCGGACGCTAACGAAAATACATCAGCTTAACCAATATACTGTTAATACATTAGAATGCTTTAAAATGCATTTTATAACTAAATCAATTATTGAATGTCATGGTTTTCCTTTCAAGCGATTATTTCAAAATATATCCAAAATAGAAGTTTGAATAATGAATATTAAAATTTACCAAGAAATCATGAAATGCCTTTTAAATATAGTGAAAATTTAAAAATAAGCTAACGTGTTACAGACTTACACGAACAGGTCCAGTAATTCATCACCACAAACTATAATAGGTTATTAACTTGCTATATGTGGCAATACCCGCCATCCAATTTGACAATCACAGATCCCGCAGGTGTCAAGTGGCTGTTCACAACACCTTACCCGGGTCCTTGAGCTCCCGACAAGGGGTCGGTATCTAAACCGGTACAGGAATTGTCCTGTCGACCCTTGTGCTCTACTCGTCACGTGACGGTATTTATCAATAAATGGCTGAAAAATAGGTTTTACAGATGGGGGAAAAAAGACAAAAAAATCCGTTTGGATTTGCATGAATTATCACTTTTCGAGGGCTGTTCAATTATTCAAACCGCCCTTCATCCGTGTTTCGTTGTCCGTCGTCCGACCTCAAACAATTCTTGTTAACGCTATTTCTCAACAACTACCCGTACTACACGGATCTTCACCAAATTTTATAGGAAGGTTAACCTTGTCCCTAGTTGTGCATGTTCCATTTTGAGACTGATTGAAAAGAAATCTGCCAGGCAGCCATCTGGAATCTTGAAGAAAGTACTGAAGAGATCTTTCTCAAATTTTCTCTGAACTTTTCCCTTGGTCCGTTGTTGTGCATGTATCATTTGGAGATTGGTCGGGAAAATAAGATGGGCGCCAGGCAGCCGTCTTGGATTTAAACAGTTCAAATCTTTTACAGCCATTTCTTAAAACGTACTAGACAGACATGTCTCAAATTACATATATTCTTCCGTTGCTCTGTAAGTTTGCGTGTTTTAAGACTGGCCATAACCACAAGGCAAAGCGTGGCGATACCTTGTATTTTGCTGATAGCATGTTTAGCTGAACAGCTATCAAGGTTGTTCAAATGAAAGACTTTGACCAACTTTCAAGGTCTGAAGCTTTATTTGGTACATTTTGATTAATTCTACCTTGGTCTCCTATGAAGGGTAACGTTACTGGTGTGATATTAATACCAGTTGCGCAATACAGGCCCATTTCACCTATTGCTATTAACACATTTGACCCTTTTGACCTTGCAAGGGTGAAGGTCATTCATTTGAAACAAGAGGCCAAGGGGGCCTGTATCGCTCACCTGGCTATTTAAGCAATCATGGCACAATATTTACATTTGCTCAGTAATGCAAATTTGTAACCACTTCAGACATGTAGGGCAAGAACTTGGAAGCGTTACTATGGAAATTTTTAATTCATAAAGAATTAAGGTTGTTACAATTACTAGCACATTAGTTGGGTTGGAGATAAAAAGTATGTGATGGCTGTTCATTTGTCGAATCGTCTATATAAACAATACCAAACTTTAGCCCTCCCCAAAGGCAAACGAGGGACCTTGGGCACATGAAAATCACAAAGTATATAAACCACTCGAACGCCTTTACAACTATGAGTAGTATTTGATACTTGCATTTCTGGAACTGCAGAAGAAGAATTTTTTAACTTCCCTAAATACCCCCCCCCCCCCCCCCCTCTTTTCGGCCTCTAACTCAGACCCTGGGGGGCAGGCTCACACAATTTATACCAGCAGTCCCTCCTCCCCTAATAAGTATTTCTCTCATATATGAACAAATTATTTTCAAAACAATGGAAGATATGGCCCGCCATGTCTATTTCCTATATAAACTATACTAAATTTCGCGAAATGGAGAAATGGAGAAGAAGATTTTTTATTTTTTTCTAATTTTTCCCTTTTTGGCCCCTAACTAAACCCTCTAGGGGGCCACACCCTTATTTCATAAATCCATTGAGCCCCTGGTCCCAAGGATGCTTCATATCAAATTTAGTTTAAATCCAATCGTCGTTCAGGAGATAAAGGTTTTTAAAGAGAAACGTTGACGCCGGACGAACGCCGGACGGACGCCGCGGTGTTAAAAATGTTACAGCCCAACATCCGCCATGCTACCGGCCACACATATCTTACATTTTAGAATTTTCAGATGTGGTTGTTAATTTGTTTTTCTCAAAATATTTTGACCTATGGGACCATGAATATTTATGAAGGTCATTCATTCGAACACACTTGATATCACAAAATCCAAGAAAGCTACGAGCCAAAAATATTCACCTTAGGCCGTTAGATTATAAGTAGAAGATGTTTGAATTAAAATGTTGATGTCACACGAACGACAGTCGACACATCAAGGCATAAACTATATATCTAGGCCCTTAGGGCAAAGACATACCTGGGATATCCCCCATAGTGATTTTGTTATAAATTTAAACCCCATATTTTGTTTTCCCTGCTGAAAATCTAGACAAGTTCGAATTGGAAAGATTACTAGGCGGAGAAATTGTAGACTATGCCACCAAACTTATCAAAATCCCAAAAATAACCGAGACTTCTCGGCGTTTTTCACAAGTGTGTTCTGTATTTATAGGGCGCCAAAGTAAGTTTAAGAATTTGTCCTAAGATACCACAATATGAAATAGGAGAGAATTTGACAGTCACCCTTTCAAATTATGTAACCCTACCCTTTAAAGTAAATATGGTACACCAAATTAAAATAGAAATGTTGCATAATATTTTACAAAGATTTAACTGTTTAAAGAGGACATCGTTCAGCCTAAAACTTCACAACTACAGATAAGCATAAAAAAAAAATTGTGAAGCATTAAATTTTATTCCATCAATTTATAATCTTTGAACATGTAATCTGGAACGATGACCTCACAATCTACCCTACAAATTATTATCCTATAAATAAATAAAGACTTGGAAGTTTTTGTGACGCTGGTATTTTATTCTGTTCAAACAAGATCTGTCTACTTTTTGCGGTACCCAGCACATAATTCACCATTACTCAGTTACGAAACACTTATGTGAGCAGTCCATTGAATTATAAGCCAATTTACCCATTGACATTTCTCTTGTCGTTTCTCTGCACACATTTGTTTTTGTCAGTCAGATAGTTTATGGCCATTCAATGAAAAATTAAACAGTTCAAAAGCTTGTATGACTAGAAAATATTTTGGTAAATGCCCTACTTAGTTAAGCGCCCCGTGCTGCGTTCCTTTTAGTTACATCCATAGGTATCCTCTTGTGTCAACAAGGAATAAATTTCACAGCCTATCTGCAAGCTCTTAGTAGATAAACTTGTGAAACTGTGCTGAAGTACATGAATATATGATTGTATAGATTAGTCTTGGCCTGTTTATAAATCAAATGATCAGAAAGGTTACAGAGAACATAATAATGGACTTTGTAAATAGGTAAGGATATTGTACAAACTAAAACAAAATACTATGGCATAAGTAAGTTGTGTTACTTGCCCCAAATCCTTTTGTTGTATTATACAATAAGATTGTCTGAACTAAATACAAAATTATTGTTTTCCTTTTTTTTAAACTTTCTATGAAGCTTTCATCAGAAGAACAGGGGTGAATAAATTTACAATTAGAAAAGATTTGTTTGTCTTAGATCGGTCGGTATCATACATTATACAATCAAACTTGCTCACATGACCTCAATAAGAGGCCACTTGTTTTAAGAGGCCACTTTTAATGTTCTCCTTTGTAGCAATTTCATTGTGAACTAAATCTGTATTAAGAGACCACCTTCATTAACAGACCACCTGTGTTGAGAGGCCACTTTAAATATTCACGATTGTAGTGATATTGTTGTGAGTTAAGCCTGTATTAAGTGACCGCCTTCATTAACAGACCACCTGTGTTGAGAGGCCACTTTCAATGTCCACGATTGTAGTGATATTGTTGTGAGTTAAGCCTGTATTAAGAGACCCCCTTCATTAACAGACCACCTGTGTTGAGAGGCCACTTTAAATATTCTTGATTGTAGTGATATTGTTGTGAATTAAGCCTGTATTAAGTGACCACCTTCATTAAGTGACCACTTTCTGAAGTTTCCTAAGGTGGTCTATTGATACAGGTTTAACTGTATAATACTGAAAAAGTCAACGACAATGAAGTAAAAAAGGAAAATCCAATCTTGTACACAAACTTTTCAGACAAGTTTTAAATAACATGTAAGTCTTCAGAAGATCAGATCATGCATATTGTGCATATCATACAGAACTTGCATAGTTGTAGGTATTTCAGCTCAAATTTGTGTTCCACAAACGCAAAACAAATACAAGAAACCAATATTTACTGTCACATCATTTTGGTTTTGTCATTTTAAGCAGTGTTAGGTGTTTTTTTCCCTTTCCATATTTTTAAAAAAAATCTTCAATTATTATCATTAACCAGGAAAATGCACGAAATGTATTGACACTGTGATAACCCTGATTTTAACTGTTTTTCACAGATCATTTTTTGCTCACTGTGATATCAGTGATATTGAGTTCACAGTGACTTTGGGTGTACCAGAGGCTTTTCCTGGAATGTTAGCCAGTAGAATTTAAGCCAGCAGTAAGTTACACCTAAGGCACAGTAAACTGACGTCAGCATGAGGGGGAGGAAGTGAAGTTTGTGGGACAGCCCGAGGAGTGGGTGTCCTATGCTGTTAAACACTTCCAGAGGTAGAATTCCCAGGAGATACACTGATTCCAATTTTGATAAAAGTGGTAGAGGAATACTCCAGGGAAATCTGAAACACAACAAAAAAGGCACTGAACAGTGAACACATATATATCCTACCATTCAAAAATAGTTTCATATAGGCCTACTACTGTTATTTTTGAAAAATCAAAATATGCATGTAGACGTTTGATGAGAGAATAGTAATGCACAGAATATCCCCAGGATATGGTATTTGTGTCTACTGAGATACATTCAAATATCTTCAGTATGGCAAAAATAATGCTCCCAAACTCTTTTGACTTCGACCTTTTGCAATTTTTGCCTTGACCTTGAGGTTAGTGTGGTTCCAGAAATACCCAATGGCACACCATTTAGTTACAATACATTTTCAATTTTCATCAGTAAAACACATTGCCTCCAAGAAGGAAATATGATTTTAACTTTTAACTCTAGTTGTGATTCTTCAAAATATGCCTATGGCGCCACCTGGTGTGGAAAGATAAATCTATCAGGTCTCATTAAACTGTCCTCTGTAATGTAGAAGTTAAAACACTCCTGACAAAAAATCAAACAGTGACTTGACCTTGAAGCCATTGTCCCAAAATGCTGACATTTTCTGGTGATGGTTCATCGAAGAATTCTAATATAGGGGTTTCAGGGTCAATGTGCATGCCAAATGAAAACAACCAATTCTATGAAAATGTTGAAAGTTTCCAGTTGTTATTTATAATGACTATGTCTACCGACAGCATTTCAATGCTCACATCAATGATATTTACCAACGATTTTAATCATGTAAAATTTGTTTGTTCAAATCAAAAGTGGGTGGTGTTATTCTATACTGTTACAGCTATTGAATTCAGTTGTAAATATATGTGCACAAAGGTTCGTTGTTTCAAAAGTTCTGTAGAACGGACTTAAACAAAAAGACTTCTGGACCTATCATATTGTTGAACCTTCAATGCAGGTCGTCATTGCCTGAAAAGTTCATGTTTTTTTCTGGTCCTTTTCTACCTTATATACAGGTAAATCTAATTCTACCTTATATACAGGTAAATCTAATTCTACCTTATATACAGGTAATTCTATTTCTACCTTATATACAGGTAAATCTATTTCTACCTTATATACAGGTTAATCTATTTCTACCTTATATACAGGTAAATCTATTTCTCATATAAATCTTAAGATAATTTTCAAGTGCAAGATAAGCATAATTGTCTCTTCAACTAAGAATGAAAATGTTGATTTGCATATTAAATATAATGCATGTGAAAAAGATATGTTATACCAACCCTAATTTATATGTTTACTGCATGTGTTGTAAGTGTTTTTCATATACCCATTTTTATTCGTCAATAAGCCCATGTCTGGTATTAAGCCCACCCAAAACTATTGCAGTTGACAGCAGAAGTTCCACTCCATGCGATTGCTTTGTCCTGTAATAGGCCTACCCCTCTACCTCTAGTCATGGATTATGAGTTGGCCACCTCAGATTATTGGAGGGTACATGTAAGTCTATTTTTTAGGAGAGATTGAGTTCTGAGAGAATGCAGGTCATTTAAGTAACCTGAGGGGGGGTCATCACATTTTTCAAAGGTCAGAAGGTCATTTTTCAGGTGTGATCTCACCTAAAAAGAGTCATCTGACAAGTTAAGACTTTCCTTGAGAAAAATTGCACTTTAACGAAGCTAAGTGATTCAATCAAGCAATTGGAAATTATCCAGTCTTGTAGATACTTACCTGTGAATGTTGCCCAGGCTTGTGAAAGCATACAGGGTAAATATGAGTACCAGTACAACCTTGATCACACTTTCTGAAAGCAAAGAACACTGCCACATACAGTAAAGTTATCATTTGTAATGGTAACACTGTGAAAGTCTTTATTTTCATGGATTTACTTAATTGGTCAATTTCTTGGCATCCCTTTTTTGTGGAAATCAGGTCTAGTGACCACAACACAGTACATGTATATTAAAGGTGAAAATATGTTGCTATATATTTGACAAATCGTATTAATTGCAAAAAATATTAAACAGTGAAAAATAGTGAATATTAGATGTCCATGAAACCACCTTTACTGTGTATAGTAACAAGTGTAAGGTTTTAAAATACTACTACTTCCATACATTGAATAATGATACTGATTAAAAGTATAAAGATTTGAACACACAGATAATAGGTACTGTAGTATTATCTACTGTAGTCGTCACTGTGCAGTCCTTATCTTGAAATGATGCTGTGAAGCAACATAAACATACATGTACTATTTACGTAATGATAATATTGCTGATAGATTAACATCATTTTAACAACTCCTAGGATGGAAGGATGGAAGGATGGAAGGACGGACGGACACGACGCAAAATTGGACCTTCTTTTAAGGTCACAGGGGTCAAAAGTGTCAAATACTACGACTTCTGAAGAACTGAAAGGTATAGAATCTTAATATGTGGCTTGTAGCCTTGTTGGTTAGAGCCCAACAAAGTTTGAGAACAAAAATGACCTGGACCTACTATCAAGGTCATATGGGTCAAAAGTTCCCAGTGGGGGACTAATAACTACTGTATAATGGGAATCTCGCCCAGTCAAATATTAGCCATTTAATGGTAAATTCCATATTCGCCCTGTGTAAATTTTGCCCTTCACATGTAATTAATATATATGGTATGCAGTGTAATAATATTTGATGTCATCATCATGTTATTTCCCTATCATTATGGAGGGCAAAAAAGCCAAAGTTAAAATATTTTTAAATTTAATCTCCGCACATATGTGATCACCATTCAAAATTTTATAATAGTAGTCTGTTAATCATTTTATCATGTAAACTGAATTAATGAAGACAGTTATGAAACAGGATTGATGAAGGTGGTTTTAGTATGATGTATAACCTGTCTTACCTGTGGGTGTGTACAGCAGTGGGAACAGCGAGTAATGGCCGACAGTGGACAGAACCAAGAAAAGCTGGGCATCTTTCTTCTTTTCTACCACCAGTAAACTGGACAGGATCAAATGTACGGTAAATATAGCAAATATCAAACTTGACAGGAGAAAATATACTGTAAATATACAACAAATATCAAACCGGACAGGAGAAAATATTCAGTAAATAAACAACAAATTTCAAACCGGACTGGAGCAAATGTACAGCAAACATAGCAGTTACCAAACTTGACATGATCTTGTATGCCTTTCTGTGACCAGTTAACAAAATTAACATGATCTTGTATGCCTTTCTGTGACCAGTTAACAAACTTGACATGATCGTGTATGCCTTTCTGTGACAAGTTAACAAACCTGACATGATCTTGTATGCCTTTCTGTGACCAGTTAACAAACTTGACATGATCTTGTATGCCTTTCTGTGACCAGTTAACAAACTTGACATGATCTTTTATGCCTTTCTGTGACCAGTTAACACGCTTTACATGATCTTGTATGCCTTTCTGTGACCAGTTAACAAACTTGACATGATCGTGTATGCCTTTCTGTGACCAGTTAACAAACCTGACATGATCTCGTATGCCTTTTTGTGACCAGTTAACAAACTTGACATGATCTAGTATGCTTTTCTGTGACCAGTTGACAAACTTGACATGATCTTGTTTGCCTTTCTGTGACCAGTTAACAAACCTGACATGATCTCGTATGCCTTTCTGTGACCAGTTGACTAACTTGACATGATCTTGTATGCCTTTCTGTGGCCAGTTAACACGCTTTA